GCTTACCAGCTGACCTGCTGATGAGCTCCAAAAGACCTAAGCTGTCACTGTTTTGTCTGCCTATCCCAGTGAAACAGGAGAAAGAGACACACTCAGACACCTCCCAGCATTAGCTAGCATACCATGGTCCCTGCTGTGGCAGAGAGGAGGAAGGGATCTCTGCTTAAGCAGCGAGTGGTGAGAGGGTTGCAAGAGGGGGGCATGGAAAGCCAGCAAACCCTCCTGTGCCTACAAGTCTGTGCCACGCTCCAGCTGGGGAGAAGAAGGGAGGGGCCAGCCCTGCTGTGGAGCAGAGAGCCTCTCCCAGGCCAGACAGCATGATGGGATCCTGGTGGACTCTAATTTAACTTAAATCAGCAAGGGGTCTGGGACAGACATCACATAAACCAGTTTGAGCCAAATTAGTTAAGTCTGATACTACATTCAACCAGGTTCATCTCAAGTCTGTTTCAGCCACTTTAAAACAGGTTTATATGCACTGAACATCTGTTCTGTTACAGGTTTAAACTAGTTTCTGATCACTTAAACCAGTTTATGTGTAATTTCTGTCCCTAGCCTAAAACATGTTACAGCCAAGGGTGCCCCACTCAGCAGGCTTCATGCCTCCATCAGGTATAATGGGCCAGATCTAATAAGGGAGTTAAGCAGAATTCAGGCACTTGAATCCCGAAAACATCTGCCTAGCCACCACTTAAAAGCCCAAAGTGCCTCAGATCTGTACTTTAAAGTTCCTCAGGTGCTATGAGTCATGTCTCTGTATAAGTGCAAAATTGCCAAAACCTTAACAGACCTGGGCAGCTTTTAACCTATGTACCACTGGGATGCAGAAGATCTGTTCCTCTGCCTATTTCCCCTGAGTGAAGAGGACTTCTAAGGCACATTTTAAAACCAAGCAGTTAGAGGTGGTGATGGTGGTGTCACCGCTAGTGCCTCTTTCCCCTATGTGGAAAAATCAGGAAATGGGAGTCTCAGGTTTTCATGAAGAAACCAGAATAACACTTCAACAAAAAAGATGGAGAGTTCCTTCAATTCTGAATAGCCAGTAGCCTGGTAAGTAGGACATTTCCCTTACAGGTGTGTTTGACTCCACTGAGACAGTGTCCCACTTTTTGGGGTAAGTTCCCTAACCACTAAAGTAATACATAAAAATGGGTGCATTTGTTGTTGCTGCCTCCTATTCCCAGTTTATTATTAAAGAAATAAGTGAAGCCCTGGGTAAGCAGGCTCTTGACTCCTGAGAGAAGAGGGGTGCCTCGTTGAGCTCTGAGCAAGGCTTTGGAGGATCTGCCTTTGCCCTCAGTTGTTTCCTACGGTTTTGTTCTAGGCATCTATACAGTGAGCATGCTGCTTTTAGAACGCTCCCTGGCTTGAATGCCATTCTGGGGCACCTACCTCTCCCCATGAATGTATGGGGAGCTTCATCACCTGCCACATAGTTCTGGAACTCACCCTGCGGGAAAGATGCCTAAGCGTGTCAGGGTGTATTTACACAGCACAACACAGCACCATGTAAAGAGCACTAAGCTAGTTCTGAGCAAGCTACAAGTTGTATACTCAGGACTGGCTAATTAGCTTTCCTTACCCCCCCAAAAAAAACAGAGAGAAAGAGAGAAAGAAGGTATGTTAGCCGATGCAGAGCACAGAAGTTTCGTAGCTATGCTGCTTCTGGTATCAGAGCTAACTTGTTCAGAATTACCCCCATACTCTGCGCAGCAGTGCATTGTGCCATGTTGACATAAGCTACAAATCCTTACAGGTATTTTAGAAAGCGATCCACAAAGGTACTTAGGTACCTGGATCCCACTGATACCAAGTCATTTCTTGGACCTAACCCAATGCTTTCTTGGAGTGCTTTCTGGGAGCTAACCCAATACCTAATCGCAGGGCATTTACACTTTGAAAAGCCTTCATTGACTTTTAGAAGCCATAATTTAGTTCTACAACTATTTTCTACAAAGAGCTTTCCAAAACTATTTTTCTACAAAAAGAACCCAAACAAATGAAAAGTCTGAATAAGATGGAGAAACAGTGGGAATGTCTCCATGGTCATTAATGCACTGCAGTTACTGAGCATTACTCTTAATATTTGGATAACCAAAGTACTAAATTAATGTGCAGTAACTCACACTACTGTGCAGTAATGCTGGTGTATGGATTTTTTCAGACACCAACTGCACAGTAGCCTAACACTACTGTGCAGCAGTGTATTAGCTCAGGTTTCGGTGAGCACACTACTGCACAGTGTTATTAGGCAACTATACAGTTGGTGTCTCACGTAGATACACCCAATATCTGCCACCTATTGTTGCTCTGCCACCTCTCCTCCTTCACAACCCAACAACATAAAAAAATAAAAGATTCCTCAGCTGGTCTCACTTAAACTACATTCATCAATAGGTATCTCACTAATTCAAAAATTATATAATTTAATTGCAAAGTTTACTGTAATAAATATGGCAAAATTACTTATATTCTTTCTACACAAACTCAGATATTCAGAATAACTGTCCTCAAGACCCAAGGAAATTCAATCATTATATATATAAATTACCTTGGATTATGGTCTTAATTTTTTCTAATACTTTCAAATACTGGTTTGAAAAGCAATTAGCAAATTCTGTATACACACACATTACACTCTTAACTTCCTATTAATCACCACATTCTATCTGAATTATCAAATTTAATTTTAGAAATAGTGAAGCTACCAATGATTCCATTGAAGTTGTAAAACCCCAATTTTCACTCATGTTGAAAACCCCTCATTGTCAAGGCTCTGCACTGTAATCTTTTGGTTTCTAGCAAAAATAGAAATTATGGGATGAACAGTGCGAGTAATTGATTGCATTCTGTAGTCTAGTAGAACCTTGTCATTGAGCATTAAGGGCACACATCCAAACAAGCATGGTCATGCAGTATGTGGCACTGCAAACTCATTTGCAGTGCCACATACTGCACAGTCCAGAGTTCTCCACACTGCAAAGGCATGCTGCATGAGCGTGCACTGCGCTGTTTTGTTTTTTTTCCCTGAAGTTTTTTTTGACACCTGGATACCGAGGGGTCAAAAAAATGCATAACAAAAACCCTGAAGCAGCACACACACAGGCAGCATGCACTGGAATCGCTGCGGCTGCAGCTCTGGGAGGGCCCCCAGGAGCCCAGGTAAGGTTGCTGGGGCCAACAGTGCTGGCCCCAGCCTTCCCTACCCCATCTGGGGTAACCTGCCATGTGGCAAAGCACACGTGGCACCGGTGCCCTCCAGGGACAAGAAGTGGCAGCGCAAGGTGCACCACCGCTACTTGTCCCTAGGGACCCAAACATCCACACACGTCTGGAAACACCCAAAGAGGCCGTCTTTCATTTGGGAAAGGAATGTAATGCTTTCCTAAAACCTCAATGCAAAATAGTGGGCTCAAAATAACAAAGCTGATTTTCCTACACGTCAGTGCAGAGAACTCTTACTCCTGTACTCTATTAGAAAAAATCTTTCAGAACTATGGACACCTTTGAAGTCTGTTTTACTCTACATTCACAGATGCAACATTACAGACAAATTCAGTCCTGTTCTTACCAGTGGATTTACACTACTGCTGAATGTAGCCCTAAATGTCTACTCAACTGATACGGAGACTTATATAAAAGGTATCCAAAAGTAGAAAGACCTGCCTTGGCTCAATTATCAAACTGTTTTATAAAATATTTTAAAAGCTCCAAGTGAATGTTATAAAATAAAATACAGTAATGGAATGTTCCAGAAAAGTTACATCATATATTTCCCCAACAAAAGTATCAAAATGTGATGAATGGAATTTAGTGACTAACTTAAATAAAAATATAAAAATAGCAGCTTGGGGTTTTTTGACACAAGACACAAAGCTTTATTATAAATGGCACTAAGTTTTGTTCTTGCACAAAAAACAAACCCCTGGTGTGCCAAACTGCAACGCATAATCTGAATTCTTAGCAAAACAAGAAGCAAGTTTTGCAGGCACAAAATGGTTGTGATCCTACAAAAATGCTGTTTCATTTTTGCAAAAATGATGATATTTCATGCCCAGTGCAAATCTATGAAAACAATTTTTTTCCCCCGAGCATGGATTTTTCTATAGTTTCACTGTGAAATGCTACCATACTTTATTGCCAGATGGGAAAATTCTTATTCCTGGTTGAAACTTACAAATAAGTACAAAAGGACTGGCGATATATTTACAATTAAAAAAACAAAACAATATACTGGTTGTCATAAAAAAAGTTATAGCTACCACAAATTACAGTTATTGTTTACCCACCAGTGTTTTATTTATTTACTAAGGGAGAGAAAGGCCTTGAATTTTGCTGCTTGCAATCCACCATGCTTTATTTTTACTTTACCTTGACACAATGAAAATTCACCACCAGAATTAGCTTTAAGGGAAACAAAGAAGCAGAAGTCTGACTCCATCATGGCGACCTTATTGCCCTCTTAGTCTTAGTTGTGGTCCTCAAAAATCAGAGGCAATGAGTATTGCCATGGTAATTGGGAATAGTTTACATTCTTGCCACACTGTTTTCCAAAAAATTGTGCACCAGATAAATTAAAGAATTTGGTCTCCAAGGAGTGCAGGTCAGTAAATGTTTTCCCGATATAAATCATGCTCTGAGAGGGTCATTATATAGTATCTTTGTAAGCACAGGGGATTCCAAGACTTAATCTGTGGGCTTTAGGCAGCATGATACGTGTCACAAACTTTCTTCTCCAGAAGAATACAAAGATAAATCCCAAATTTCATTTTGGTTACCAAGGAGCATACTCTACTTTTTATGGACCAGTTATTTACTGTTACCAAGTTTAGCAGTGGGAATCTATTAAATAAAAATGTAAACTCTGATGCCAATGGTTTTCCCTCTGGACTGGATGGCTAATATTCATTCCGATGCTTTGTTGGACCTTACATCCTATGTTTAATTGCACAACACCTCAATACGTGACTGAACCTGCAAATACCCAAATTTGCACTTACCTGCTGGATACCGTATGTCCAACCCTGCCTGATACGGTCCCTCGCCCACACATTATGAGCATTCTCTGCTAGTTTATCCACCATAGCTTCCTGAGAGGGGGTCAGCTTGATAAAGCTCAGATCCATGGGAGTAGGCTTGTATCCACTTGACAACTGGTAACTGTCAAACAATGTAGAATTTGCAGTTGGTCATTTTTTATCATCACATTTCTGTTATAAAATGTTGATGGCAGATATTATGGAGACAAATTATTCTAACTGTTGATAACAATAAAAAAAAGTAAGCATGTAACATTTATCCAGCTACAGATGTTGAACACTATAAGAATAATGCATAGAAATTTGGCTGTTTCAAATTAACTATATTTGGATTGAAAGAAGCAGCTCATTTCCTTAAGTGCTATGAGTAGTTATAGAGGTAACTCAAAAGGATCTCAGTGCAGAAAAGCTTTGGTGTATATATTGTTACAGTTCTTGACATGTTTACAGCTTTGAAAAAACTTGGGGCTTATTACAAACCTTAGAGGCCTCTGAGTTAAATATTATTTTATGATTTCTGCAGAGAGCATTATTTCTGAACATTTCACACACTGTCAATGCTTCCCTATGTGGGGGCCCAGTTCCAAGGGCTTTCAAAGAAGTATTGTGATACTTATATTCCAGAAAGCAACTCTTAATGGCTGACAACCTGGCTAATGATTGACCTGTGTTCCATCTATTATGCTTAGCAATGGTAACTGAAAAGTCTGCAGTGGTCAGATCCAAGTTTCTTGATATTGCTTTAACCCTGGTAAATTTTCTTATAGGACAGATATGGGTAAACAATATGCTGATTGCAATAGTTGATCATCCATGCTCAGCAATAACTGCTAAAGTTATAAATGGTTGAATACCTAGATAGGTCACTGGTCTGGAGACACCAAAATTCATTCAGATTCATGATCTCAAGCAGCCAATAAAGGAAAACTGACTATAAATGGTATTCCGGCATCCTTCAAAATTACCTCATTTATAAACTATCAACAATAAAATAGCAGCTCATAAATTAATCTTTTGATTTCTATTCAATTTAAGACAGAATATCAGCAATGGATTTCCTACAACATTACTAAATAGATATATACATATGGGCACTCTATTTATGACTAGATCAAAATGACACAGGAAACCAGAAATGTTAAAATATGAATATAGTTTAGTTAGTCTGATCAAACAACAAATATTTTTTCTATTGCCCAATGATATTAGAACAAATGGCATGTACCTTGTGTAAAACAGACAAATAATTTGCCCTTATCATTTGTTTTTTGTTCATAAGACTTTTGTGGCAGTCTGGGATCCAAAATTGCTGATTTTAGACCTGTGTGTGTTAATCTTCTTTGGATCAAGGCCTACTATTAAATTCTGCTTAGCTCATTACATCTTTACATATAAGACTCTTTAAACGTACGTTATGACAGTCTCTCTACAAACACAGGTAGAGTAGCTAGTTTCTCTTTAATTTGACTTTACAGTAATCAGACTTTCAAAAGGCCAAAGTGAACACCAAGATATCATTAATCTGATCTGCTGACAAAGCACAAAAAATCAATTTTGGGGGACAATTTAGGGGACCGTCTTTGCTGTGCCCTCTTTATGTTATAAAATTACTTCAAAACATTAATAAACTATTTTGCAAATCACTGTAACACTGTGAGAAAAGCATCACTTTATAATTTCAGACTGGGTGAAATGCAAAAAAATGTTTTAAAAAAAAGTCAGGTCATATTAAATTGAAATACTTCTATGCTGATGGTTACAGCACAGTTTATATGTAGCCAACACTAACAGACCAATGCTGCTTTTTTACTTGTCACTTAATCACAGCTTTTCAGATTTGCCAGCAGATCTAAGGGGGTCAAAGCAACTGATCCATCATTCTACATTTATATCCTATTTAAATAATCTGAAGGGAGTGCTGAGTAAGGCTCTATCAGCAGCATCCCTCTGTGATGCTCCTGCCCATAGTTCAGCCTATTTGTATGAAGTGAACCATTAAATAAGATGTAGCACAGTAATCTTGGATCAGCCTGTCATCTTGTTTAAGGACTTGCTTCTCACAAAGCCAGTTAAACTGAACAGTCAGTTAAACAAAGAGAGAAAACAAGCTGATTATCAACTGAGATATCTTTCCAGTGAACACAAATGAAACATGTACACATTTTGGTCAGAAATGTGGCTGTCTGCCAGAAAACACAGTTCTAGCTTCACAGAAAAGGTACAAGGTACAAATCTTGCCTGTACATAAAACTGATGATTATCATGAGAAAAGAACTGAAACAAGAATTAAGACACAGTGGGCACATACACACATGCAATTAATACGAATCAGTAAACTCTGACACATATCTCATCAGAATTGATTGCTCCTGGGTACCGCATTTACATGCACACCCAGGACCACATCACATTGAGCCACGTTGAAGAAGCCCTGGCTGTTCTGACCCGGTTCAACGGGCTGTGGAAAGACTAGCTGGGGCACCACATTGCTCTGGTGTGTGGGTAGCCAGCAGGCAGCCCCAGCACTGAAGCACCCTTGTGCCCCAGCCAGCCCCATCAGTGTCTACACGTGCATTGCTGTGCAGTAAATGACACTACTGCAGGACAGTACATTTATTTACAAGTACTTACCTATGGCAGCATTTATTAGTTTACTACTACCTAATAGAGTCGTGTAGATGCAGAGACTTTACTGCAAAGCTAATTAGGCAGCTCCACAGTAAATGTCTCGTAGACACACCCAGTTTAACTAATACTGATATGTTTTGTATAAGTCTTGTTTAGGCTTGAACTCATTATCAATTCACCTTTTTATCCTAAAATCCTAAGGCACTTTACAAAGAGTAATTAGATTTCACACTAATCCCCTAAAATACCAGCTATAAAACTCTTTTAACTAAACAATGGCATTGCACATTTTATAGAGTAGATAAACTGTCTTGAGGGGGAGTCATCATCAAGAAACATCAACATCAGTCTTCCTCCATAATTACAAAAACATAAAATATTACCATATTCCAGCTGTGCAAACATTCCAAAAGCAGCAGTACGTAGTTATAAAATGGGGATCATAAAGTTATATAATGAATCAATTAACATTTCCATAGCTGTTCTCCCACATTCTAGCTGACTAATCTTTTATGAGGGTGGCACACTTTACTTCTCACAATTATATCCCTACTCACCAAAAATAGCCAAGCAATTAAGTCTTTAAAACGAAGATTATAAAATATGCTTGACTGAAACACTAAATCATGTGCCATTAGTATTTAAATCATTTTCCACGGTTACTATACTCACTTCGTACTGTTATTTTTCCATGAAAACAAAGCTTCTATGTTATGGATAAAATAGGTGTGGGTACAAAACAGTGAAGGTATCCTACTACAGATCCAGATGAGGGAATTCAAGCTTTCTTCTGAACTTGCACTGCAGGAGTTGCCTCTAATTGTCCCAGCTGGAGAGTCAAGGTGACCAGATGTAATACTAGTTACACCTCACTCCCTTGTGTGCTGTTGGCTACAAAAATTAGCATTCCTTAAGTATGATAACCCAATGGGCTACTTAGGCTTGGGTGGACCTTTAACCTTTGTATAAAAGGCTGAAGATTGCCACGCATATTCCAATAAAATGAAGGAGTCTGAAGGGCGAGGTCTGTAAGAACAGCTGAGTTAGTTATGTATAATCACTTTCTCAGCCCATGAATTAGCTCTGGAATACCAATGTAATGCTCTGGTATGCAAAACAAAGGTGACCATGACCAGGGCAACATCAAAAAATTATGGAACATAAAACAATGCCATCTCTGAGCATAAGTGATGCTTCTAGATGAAGAAGGTTGCTGAGCTCCACCATATAGGTCTCTTTCTGGATGAGTTATAACTGCATCCATTAATCAGTGAGTACAGACAAAAAGATGCAACAATGACTAGCAGATATGCCTTAAGTACAGAATGTTTCCTGTTTTATGTTCCCCCTTCTGCCCCCTGCAAAAGGATTGTCAAGAGTTCCAGAAATTACTTCTGCTACAAATTAAAAGCCATAGAGAGGGATTCAGAGCTAGGCAAAGGACATGGCATTACCTTCAGATTGAAAATATTTTGGGGGGAAAAAAGGGTATAACCAGCACCTTCAATATTGGTTTACCAGTTATTCATGAAATTTGTTAAGCAATAGTTATTTGTTCTATCAGCTGAACTGACTTTGGAGACTTGTGGATTTGTTTTGAGGTGGCTCGGTAACAGTGGGTCTCAAATACCTGGAAAACACATGGGCGTTCTGTTAAGGACTTCTACCTATCTATACAGGTAGTCTAGACCAACGGTCAGGAACTTAAGCCAACGGGCCATATGTGGCCCACACAGCCATTTTGCTGCTAAAATGCAGCAAGGAGTCTTCACCCATGCAGCGACTGGCCAGCAGAGAGAAGCAGCAACAGCCTAGCAGGGTGGGAGGATAGGGAGTGGAGTTGACGACTGTATATATGCTGGCACAGGCCAGGTTGGAAGTAGCCTTCACTTGAAACTAAGCTCGAAAACATTGCTGACCCTCTTGGTATCAGCATGTGCTATTTGGGTTAAACTGAATATTTTGCTTGATTGAAAACAAATTTAAAAGTTACTGAAATTTGACAGAAAAGCTCTTAATGATTCAAAATCAAAAAGTAGTAATGTGACCTTATTTCTGTCCTGACAGGGGACCCCCCAGTTGAAGGTCCCTCAGGGTCACGGTGGGCCGGGGTGGCAATTGGACTACGAACAGGCGGGATTAGCGGCGGTGGAGTTCTGAGTAGCACAGAGGCATATGAGTTTAAGACAAGATGGATTTATTACTCACGCTTTAAGAGTGGAGGCCGAGATGCTTTCTTCAGTTACAGGTTACAATAAACGAACGTGAACAACAACAACAGAGGGGTCTGTTGGCCCACGGGGTTCTTAAGCGAGCCCTTGCTTTCTAACCCCGGAGGGCTAGGGACAGCTGCTCAACTTAATAGTCCCAGGGCTGGTCAACAGCTCATGTAGGGGTGAAAACAAATAAACGAAAACTGTAACACGGTGAACGAAGAGATGATATCGTGACACCAATCCAAAGGGGTGATCGATGTCCAAAGTTCGTGAGGAG